GTTTCCTCTACCTCTGAAAGCCCGTGATTCTATTGACACCACATTGTAACCAAAGAAACTAACCATACAGAGATTAATATAAAGAGAAGGAAAAAAGCCACTGAATTAATCTCTTGTCTTATAGCCACCCAGTCTACATAACAAAGATTTCTTTATGCTCATAACCCATGCAAACTTTAATAGAAAAAGAAAAATTAATAGCACTAATATTTTTTAGATTGTAAGGGTATGGGCACAGTTGAAGCCAATAAAATGTTTTAGTGTTTTCAATTTTCCATTAAAAACAAGTTTGGCCATCATTTAGTTCTTATTCTAGTTATCCATAGCCCCTTCCCATGGCTTGGGCAATGGATAACTAGGTTAGCAGCTCTTTTGCTGTGTGTCCTTCTCCTGTCATTCCCACCTAGTAAAAAATCCAGTTGACGTTAATACGGTCTATGATGCAGCAGGCTAGATTTTATCTTTAAAAAATTGTTTTGATAGTCAGCGTTCAAAAATAGTCCAATCAAATCACACCAAAGTGTTATAAAAAGTATCTCCTATGGATATGTTCAGATTACCTTACTATTACATTTGTATTTATTTAATACTTCCAAGTGAAAAAGTATTTGTTAAAGGTGTATTTGTCAAAAACAATTTTGTAAGCAAATTAGTTTAGATACTATACATAGTAGATGTCATGCACTTCTTAAATCACAAAAAACATATCTTCCTAAAATATTTCTTAAATACCAGAAACAATATCAATCACAACCTCATAACAGATTTTCCTATGTTACTGTTAATGAAACTTTCATTGGTTTTACATATGGAGGTTAGTATGATGTAATTCTATGGAGTAAAGGACAGATAGCTCCTCCATCAACAATTTTGTTGGTTCTTTCTATTTGCACTCACATTTTCTCTGAATTTAACAAAAATAACATAGAGCAACACATTTGAAATGCCCTTTGAAAAGCATTATATCTGTCTCATTAATCATGTTCACACTGTTTTATTTGGAATATACGTAAGGGAAAAAAAAGGGTTTGAATCATGTATTTGTAAAACCACATAAACGTTTATCCCCCATCAAACAAGCCCAAACCCTCACTGTACATTGCTGAAAAGGGAAAAGGGCCAGCTTTGCTTTCTAATAGAGCTGTACCAAATAACTCTCCTAGGCAATCAGGCTGACAACAAACAATAAAGAACCTGTCATAAAATAACATGTTTTTATGGTATGCTGCCAGGAAACTGAGCTTTGCAGTGGGATAAATAGCACCATCCTAAAATATGGGCACAAAGGAGAATAGGAAATATGGGATTTATTGCTTCAAAATCAAACTAACCATGTATTTCAGCAATGCATTGGGCAAAAAACATAAAATGCTCTGCGGTCACTAAATAACCATGAACGATGAGAAGGTGTTTGAGTTGTAGACCACGTGAGCAGCTATATTGCAAGCCTTACGAAACCTCTTGAAATTGGTTTCCTTTTCCAATTTAGAAAAGGGAAAGAGACCAAAGATGGAATAGATAGGGGGAAATCACAAACAAGTACAATATGAATGAGTCTGTTAGCATTAATACTCCATCAAATGTTGTTTTCGGTTGCCTTTTTTATTACGCAGTGCCTAGGGCTACCTTCTGACATCTGCTAATACTTTTAGAATGGATGTTTGCTTTTGATTTACTTACTAAAGAAGAGCAAGTGTTGATCCTGAAAAAAGTATTCAATTAATGTAGAATGTCAAAGATTAGGATGAATCTAATTTCATGAAGAAAAATTAAAAATATTGTTTGCATGCTATTGGCACCTTTCTTTATAATTTAAGATTTCTCACATAGTAATATTGAATATTTGCTGTCTCTTATTGAGAGAAGGGTTCCCTGTCAGTGCACTGCTTCTACCTCTCAGAATGTATGCACACCACTACTCATCACTCTCTAAGTCTTCAAGGGACAGTTAGTCACTGATAATCTTCAGTAATTGTCAGCAACTTTAGCTGACAATTAGATTTCAGCTAATTAGTGAGATTAGAGGCCGTATAATAAAAACAAGGATGTAGGAACAACTTGTGGGCAGTAGAGCTTTATCTGGGGACTTATATGAGTATTTGACTATTCTTAGTCCAGAAAAGTGAGTAGTATGGGAAAACGAATAATGCTTGAAAAAGGAAGAATTGATAAATGTGGAAATTCCCAAATGAGAGTCCCTTTGCCTAGAATACTGGACCTTACCTTCTCCTGGATAATTCTTATTCATCCCCAGGTTTCCTCTCAGACATCATCTTCTTTAGGAAAAACCCTTGAACCCCACTTTCATGCCTCCCTGTTCTGATCTGAGGAACTGTTTCCATGTCCTTCCATTCACTATCATGGTCCTTACTGTGTTATGTTGTCATCGTTTACTATCTCAACCCCTCACACTCTATAGACTGAAGAACACAAGATCTGTGATTTATTTAACTTTGTATATGCAGCATATAAGCACATGATGAAAGTTTACTAAACAAATAAACAAGTAGAATTAATGCCTAAGGTCATGTTTTATACTATACAATCTCCCCTCTTTTTTAAAAAAGCAAAACACTTATTTTGTTTGTCCTGCAAAATAAATTCTGAAAATTCTATGCAAACGACAAATGTCTTCCAAAATGAGAATAATGAGAAGCTTTATAAGGAAAGATATGTGGTTACACATATTTTTATTTTTTATCAAAGGAAACTTGGTTGGCATAGCAGAAACTAAGGTAGATTGGAAATTTTATCCTAACACTGTTTCTTACTAGCCAAGAAACTTGCTTGAGGTCATTTCTTCAACTGAGAAATGAAGATAATCCTATCTATGCTTGCTATCGTATAAAATTGCTGCAAGGATCAATAAATTAGTGGGAATGAAAGAATTTTGAAAATGTTAAATTAGTATATTAAGGGCATTAAAGAATTAAAACAGCACAAATTGATTTTTCTTACATTGAGTTTTCTACTTTTTCTTATGCAGAGTGAGAGTTGAGGAATACATTTTGGTGGTAAATTTAAGTTTGACATTGTCACTGTCGATCCTTGGACATAAGTAGAAATTTTTTTACCTATAAGATTTAGACTCAAGTTCTTCTGTTTCCTTGTGGGGGAACCAGAATTCAGTATGAAGGAAAAAGAAATTGTGCATGCCTGTTTCGAGTACTTTTAACATTTGGCTACAGTGCACTGACTGGAAAGCTCCCTGGTGGACCAACAGCAAAATGTAACACCAGCTTCCAGGTTCTTTCTTGCACATGGCACAACAAAATAGAAGATAACTGGACCTAACTGCTAGGACTAGATTTGGCAGAAAACCTATAATCAGCTGTGACATCGTTGACTAGACTTTAATATAATGGGCAATATTGTAACTTTACTGCTCTGGCAATCAGATAATTTAATAGCATTCAGCATTATAGTGAAATGTTTCAACAAATCAATTTTACAAGTGCTTGATTGATATTTATTACAGTGAGGGGGCGGTACCCTACGTCTCTTCCCCTTCACCCATGGTCCAGAAATGACACAGATATTGCAGAAGTTCAGTGTTGTCTGAAAACCATTCCAGTGCCACGGGAAAGATCTTACTGCATAAAATTTCAAGATGGCACAACAGTGGTCACATCGACTTTCTAACCCAGCCACTTGAAGTGTGATAACTCATTAGCTGAAGAAAACATTCTCAAGAGTCTACAAGCCAGAGCAGTAACATGGCAGCTACAAATTGCTTCCTGTCCATCACAAAATATAGAAATTTCACACTACCCTTCACACTAATCACAATTCTTTCCTTGGAAATATGTTATTTGAACTATTCCATTACTGAGATGCCTGATATCCTTTTTTCTTCCTTTGGAGAAGGGCACAGAAACAATTCAAAATCATTGTATCACCCCTGCCTACACTCCATTATATGAGTTTTGTGACTAGAATTCAGCAGCTCCGAGACAGAGAGAGAGAGAGAAAGAGATTGACATCAATAGTTTATTTATTGAGCTGTAAATTCTTTCGTTTCCCCCAAAAGAACACTTGTACTCTAAAATATAATTTTTGTTTCTGTCAAAATACTATAAAATATCCCTTTAGAGAACTGTTCAGTGTAAGTTTCACAATTCAAAATAATAGAATTATATGGTGACAGTTGGCACAATTATGTGTCATTATATAATTCCTTACCTTTATATCCATGGCTCTCTATAGTAAAATCACAAACAGAGCTCTAAAATTCTTTACTTTTATAATATTCCATGCAAGACCTACTTCTAAATAAATATTGTGCCATCTATGTAATTTTCATTCTTGATGATCAGACACCGTATAGCTTCCTAGCCCCATCTCTCCTACACTATGCAGTTAGTATCCGTCGCCCCCTCACCCACCTCACACACACATTCACACTCACTCACATTTCCATGTACACACTTCACCCAGACCACCTGGTCTTCAGATCTTTGAATGTAGCCTACTTATTTGCTACTTCTTTTTCCTTTAATGTCCTTTTCCTCGGCTAGCATGCACTTTCTGCTCTTCTTTTGCCAATTCAAATCTTCCCATTTCAAAGTCCATAGCTTCCAAGAAGCATGGAATTCTTGACTAACTGAATCCACCATTCATGTTAACCTTAAATCGACTGTCCTCCTTAGTCATTTATACACACTATGCACCCCATCAGTTATCAGTTTCTTTACAGTTGCCTCAGAAGGTCTCTGGGTGCTCCAGGTGGGAATGAGGCATCTTCTGAGTAGGCTTTAAGCAACTCAAGAACAGGCACCATCTACCCAACTTCTGCTGATCCCCCGTTCCATCTGGTACAGGCTATACTCAAAATAGGCACCGAACGCTTTTTGAATAAGTGCTTGTGTGAATAAAAAAGACGAATAACTGTTCATTGTTTAAGACATCCAGATGATACCAAATATTTCTGATGTATTAATTTTTAGCAATCTGGATTTGATTTAATCTACCGCAGTATATGCATATGGTTTTATACTTACCGGAACAGAAACTTGAGGATTATCTGCAAGTTTTCCCAGCACAGCAAAACCATCCACACTGATTTGGCCTCTTGGCTTTATAGGTAAGGATTCAATCCTGATGCAGTCAACAAAAAGAGTAGCGCTACTTCTTTCCACACCAATCATAATCTTATGCCACTGGGAATTAAACAAGGAGGGCAAATTTGAAAAGGCTGCGGTTTGGAGACTTCCATCCAGTCCTTTGTATGAAAATGCAACAGATTTTGTTTGGCCATTAATCTTCACGCCAACTTGCTCCTTCCCCAAGGAATCCTGAATCTGCCAAATGTTCCAGTTCTTTTCAAGCGTGCTTCCAGTCATCCGAAACGTAGTTAAAAAGGAGTATTCTTCAGGCAGTCCGCTAGGATATAAATGCCTGAGTAAAATTTTAAAACAGTAAATATAAACCTTGTTTTCTGTACGGTTGCATATTATCATCTTCTCTTATTATACTATTTTAAATTCTGGACCTACAGGAAAGCTACAGTATGAAAAACTATGTAATATTTGTTCTTTCATGACTGTTCACAAAGATCTTCACAGAAGTTCAGTCATTCACATACATTAATGCTCCATTTTAAAATACACATTAAAAAAAAAAGCCTTCCCTCAAAGCTAAGGAGGGTTCCCAATGTCACCTAATTCCAACAATATTACTATTTATGCTACCTAACCAGCTGCCGTTCAGCAATTCAATCTCAGCCAAGAAACACATTCTTACAAAGTTCTTGGCAACATTTCTTCCACAAATAAAAGAAGAGATCATTTGGGCTCCAAATCAGCTCTGCTAGCTATGACACTGTTGAATTAAAGCAGCTTTTAATTTTTGTTTAATATAACATGTTAGGATTATTTGTTCTTTCAACAATTGCTTGGGTATTCTCCACAGTAATATCCTAGACCCACAACAGCATTTTGAGAATAAGTAACTGTGTAGACTTGAGTAGCTCCTTCACACTGAGAAGGTTTTTCTTTCAAAGTGTGATGTTAAATTAACAGCTGGTTGGTTGTCACTAGATGTGTGAAAGGAAAAGGTGACCAGTTCTTACTCCTCTACTCCAATCCAGTCGTTCCTCAATCTGACAACTAAGTGTTTATCATTGCTACTTCCTTTACTGCTTTAAATGGCAGCATATGATCATCAGTGTCCCTAAGATACCTCCAGTCTATATGGAAACTGATTTGGAGCTGCAACAACTACCTGGATCTTCTTCTGTTGAAGCCAAAGTGCTAAAAGCGGAGGACCAAAATTGTAAAACATCAGGACATATTAAATGTAAACTTCACCCTTTAAGGGCTTGAAGGTTATGCACTTCTACCTTCTTCCCTCTAAGTATAGAAAAATTCCTAAGTAAGGAAAAAATGCTAGGAAAACTAGATGCCAATTAATTTTGCTTGCTAAATAATAAAACTTGACATTTCTGAAAACAGTTATGGACCAAGACCCAAACTTCCAAAGAACCTTTCTTCAAGTCCAATTCCTGTTATATAGCCCCCTTCTTGAGAACAGTAAAGGAAAAAAAAAGGCAAGAATAGATATCTAAGTATATGCTGATTGAATTGTTACAAACTAAAATGAGTAACATATAAATGTATTGTATTGGAGTATGTGTTGTTGCCAATTACATTAAAACATATCGTTGGGGTCAAGAATTTCTAAACCAAAAAAAATTCCTCATTTTCAATAATGTTTAGAATAAATAAAACTTGCTAAGGTTTTCTATCTTTACGTTGACTTTAACTATAGAACTCTGTCATCCCTTATAATAGCATAAACAAGCATAAAGTAACTCTCCTGCAAATATTCTCGCAAACCAAGAAAATGTGTCTACTACGTCCATAAATATCATCACTTTGTTAGTTTTATAAAAATAACAAAAATGTAAAACTTTTATCTGAGTATTCTTTTATTATCCAAGTGCTTCTCTTAGCCATTATTTTCTAAAATGTCTTTGGTTTTTATTTTTAATACTGGGTGAATTCCTTTGTGAATACATATTCTTAAATGATTATTGGTGGTGTGTACTATACTTACTTCAAAGTTTTCAATTCATCAAATATCTTTTATGTCTGTCAAGTGTACATACAGGAGGTTTTATTAACAAAGAGGATTTACATTGAAAAAGATTCAGTTTGGAGCTAAAAAATGTATTCAAGAACTATTTGCCCATAATGGGCATGTTTACCACAACTATTTTGATATTTATTTTTAATACAGATTCTGTTTGTCATATTTTGTTTGGATTTTAGATTTTTCAGAATATACATGCCCCAGAATAACTACTAGGGAAGAAACTAAGATTCATTAATGACAGCATAATATACTGCCTACTGTATAATTATAAAATCTCATAGAAGTTTACATATTTCATTTAACTGACCTCAATTAATTTGGAGCTGGGAGATAAGTTTTAAAAGTTTTATTCAGTGATGAAATTTGACAAGTATCCATTTAAATTACAAATAGGTTATTTTAATATGATTTTCACCTAACAATCTGGATTTAACCAGATCCTTAAAGAATTTATTTTTCTTTTCTGTTCAAGATAGTTACTGTTGAGGTGAGAGGTTTTCACAGAAGGCAGATAAATCCTAATGCTTTGTCCTCTTCACTTCCTTAAAGCATTCTTCTTACAGGTTTTTTAAAAATCTGTTTTATCTATTTATTTCTTTACACATGTACTAAGCAAAGGCTGTAGAATAAATCCCTAGGGAAAAATAAACCTATTTTGTTTTGACTTTAGAAGTGCAGCAACTTGCTTTAGTGATTCTTTTGCAAAGACATCATGAGGTTAACTGAGGGATCTCTTCCAATTTGTGCTTCATCCTATCTTTCCTGCTAAATGAGCAAAGATATTAAGTTTAAGGTAGAACAGGACATAATGTTACCATGTACCTGTGAGTTGCTTATGCAATGCCAAAAACTTTTTTTATTTTAAATGGGATGGTCGATGAAATTGCTAGAAGTACAATTCATTTATAGACATGTTGTTAAACCAAGGGTATTCATTTATCTTTCTCCATATACATGAAGATTTTGTATATTTGTGTGTGTGTTTGTGTGTGTATATACAAATATAATCAAGATTAACATGTTATTAATATTTTAAACTAGGCTAATACAGTATGTCAATATAAGAGGAGAAAATTCCTTTCAGTTTCAAATAATAAAATTTATAGGTATTTGTATATTCCTAAGACCATTTAAAAATCCTCACAAGTATAATTTATAGAATAGTCAGTCCCATTATCTTTTTTGAACACCTGAGATTCTGTTCTTGCAAATATGCTATTCCCCTTGATAAGCAAACTTGACAGCATACATAATTTAAAAGAAGATGGACCTATAAATGATTTATTTCATTATGTTACAATCTGCACAGAGTCTCTTAAAAAGAGAGCCATAAAGGTTTGAATAAAAGATAAGAAGTCTTTGGACCTTGAAACATTTGTTTATGACCTTACCCCAAACAAAAGCTAAGGATTGTATTTGTTAATGCAAACAAACACAACATGTTTGTAAATTTGAATTGAGAATGTGAAACTATAATGCCTGATATAAAGAATAAAAAGCAGCAAAGAAAATATGCCACAGAATCTTTCCAAATAATTAAAAAGACAAATAAGGATAAATTGTGACTGTCACATCAGCTCCATCTGCCATACCCCTAAGAAGATCCTGATAATAGTTTATTTTCGCTGCCTTGGAACCTGTATTCCCACCATAGAAATTCCCTTTAAACCAAGGGAGTCCACTCCCTGCATGGCCTGAGAATAAGTCCAGTCCCTGCTTTTCTTGCTACCTGGTTTTTGAATGAGTAGGACTTGGAGGGCAGCTTGAAAACAAAGAGCCCACTAAGGAGAAGCTCCCATCTGCATACCTCTCCTTCTGGTGCTCTCCACTACTTACGAAAAACACTTAACCAGTGCCACTGTGTACCAGGCTCTGATCAAGCCTCTCCATTTATTAACACTTACTTTTCACAGCAACTTTTGACACAGTGATTATTATTCCTGATTTTAAACTGAGGAAACTGACGCAAAGATTCTTTAAGTAACTTGCCTGAGAACGGACCTTATTACCTATTTGGGATCTCATCTGTCTCAGCCCTTGGGCTCTCCTCCTCTTTGTATGTCTTTCTCCTACTTCCTTCTTCTACTTCTTTCCTCCTTTCATAAGGCTTGCCAGTAAAACAAGAGTTTTTAGTGTTTGTGGGAACAGGGAGTCAAGGAGATAGGGTATACGGGACATTGGTGATAGCCTGTGAAAAATAGTTAGTGATACTCTAGGCACTTCGAGAAGAGCAACAAAAAAAGATGAGCAGGTGGGCCGGCCAGTGGCGTGATGGTTAAGAACTGGCTTGGGACGCCAGAGGGCCCCGGTTCGGATCCCACATATGAGGGCCAGTGACACAGCTAAGATGCTGAACAACGGCTCAACCTGGAGCTGGGCTGCTGTGAGTCCCCAGCGACGGAGTAGGCTGCAGCCACTGCTGCAGTGGGTTGCCATGGGCTACCGTGTGTAGCCAGCAGCCAGCATGAGCGGCCAGCAGCTGCAGTGAGCAGCCGTCCAGAAAGCCTACAACTGATCTGCCTCGCCCGGGAAGAGCACAATGATGGTGCCAACTTGGGCCAGTGAAGCAACGTCCTCCACAACTAGACTGAAGAACAAAACGACAGCAACTTGTCTGTTCCCATCCCCCCAATTCCTCAATAAAAATCTTAAAAAAAAAAAAAAAGATGAGCAGGAGGTAGGGGTTCATGTGGCCTTCTATCTCTGAACTTGGAGTCAAGGACAGTGCAGATTGTGTGTTAAATTGTAGACGAGAAAATTAGGTCAGCCCTGGGGATGTTGTGTCATGTTTAATTATTTTATTAAAGAAAGAAAAAATGAAAGTTTTTAAAGCATATTTAAAAACACAATAGCACCTCTGTTCATGAAAAGAAAATATAAGCAAAAATAAGTTCATAGCTGTTAGGATGCCTTTCATCTTTCCAAATGTGAATGGTTTCCAAGGGTTAGTATCGAATAGTGGTTAGAAGTACAGCAGCCTCTGTAACCATTCTGCCTGGGTTTCAGTCCTCCCAGCTCCTCCCAACCCTGTGACCTTGTGCAAGCAATGTAAACTTTCTGGCTTCTGTTTCCTCCTCCATAAAAAATGGATAATAGTGTTCCCATCACAGGGTTGTAATAAGGATGAGATTTAATGTTAATTGGGAAGTTTACTAAAAGAGTTTAAACAATGCACTTTTATTGTTTTAGAAAATATAGTATGTTCAAAACATGAAATTTTATCTGCAATCTGGCACTATATCAGAATATTCTAATTTGACCAAAATTTTCATTGTTATAAACATTTAGAGTTTCTATAATAATCTTTTACTGTTTTAATTAATCATTATTTACCTTTACACCTTAGTTTCTATCAAAGCTCTAATTTCCTTATTTATCTATCAAAGGAATCTTAATTCTAGTAAGATTAATGCTATTTTTTAGAGTGCACTAAAACATACAATTATAATAATCACATATGAAGTATTTAGGTGATATAAAGCTGAAAGCTCTGAATCTCATTCATAGCAATGGTATGATTCAACACTTTCAAATATACTAAAGCATCTCAGTTATGAGTAATTTAAAGGATAAAAGAGTTCCAAAGGAAGAGATAAAGTAGAGGATTTTTTCTTATTATTACCACTACCATTGTTTCTATTATCTTTATTCTACTTTTGCTTTTGTTTGGTTCCTGCCAGGAGCCAAGCACTGTATGTGTGCTTCTATTTCAGCACCTGGACGTTTGAACAGCACCATTGTGAGTCTTCTAACCACTCCGTGGTTTCTAGTTAAATTTATGCTTAACCTCTGGCACTTTTCACAGAGGGTCCTTTCAGTCAAAACCAGACAAATTATAGAAAAACAGAGAGTAAAGTAATAAGAACATGTCCTGAATCAATGTGTAACAGTCTCAGTGATTTTTTTTCCAGGAATAGGACATAAATCACATACTGAAAACATGAAGAACATTCATATATTCAAGGCACTGAAGATAGGTAGGTAAATAAATTCTTTCATCTTTAAATAAAATCCTGATCCAAGAAACATTGAGCATAAGAAGATGCTATAACATTGGCTAGGTTTTCATTTAAAAAAATGCAATTGAGGCAGATAATTAAATTTATATATATGTCACCTGGTTGGAATCCTGAAGTCTACATTGTTTCCCAGTTTGTAAGCCACTTGTAATGCCGTTGACCCCACAACTCTTTGGATGGCTCTTCTGGATGCTGCTTTATCTACCTGGAACTGAGAAATCAAGTCAAACCCTATAGAAAGGGAACACAAAACAAAAAGTACAAAATGAGATTGGTGTTATTCCTTTCCACAACCTTCCCAAATAACAGAATGTATCAGCTGGGTTTATAGAAATTGTGCATTTTCAGGTACACTGCTACTCACCTGGTAAGTCATCTTGCCCAATCCTGACTTTCGGACACAGTTCATTTTCACCATTAGAATCTGAATTGACAGGAAATCCTGCAAAAAAGAGATCTTGTGTCATCCTACTTCATATCTTTCAAGGATCATGGGGATGTGTCAATAATAATCAGAGCTGAAAAACTATTAAAAGTACAATATTATACCAAGCAGCGTGCTTATAAATAATGTATTGGGCTTTAACTCTGTGACTCTATGATTATAATTCATTCATCTTTGACTCATCCTGGAAAGGAGGCAAGCCAGAAAGTTGCTTTAATAATTGGTGCTGGGAAAATCTTCCTTTTGGGGAAGTTAGGAATTTGGAACCAGAGCTGACAACCTTCTGAATGGCACCGTGTCAGAAGCCAGTCTGGAAAATTTCTGGTGGTTTGGGCTAGCAAATATTCCTTCAACACCACAAATTTTAGAATTCCTAAGAGAATCCAAAGCCAACCTTGAGCCAGTTCAATGAGACTCCTGGAGAGTGTAGTTCTTAGGACTCTTTGTCAGGTAGAAAAGGGGTTTGGGGTGAGTCTCAGGATTTCCTATTGCTAAATAGAATATACAGAACACATTTGATTTCATAAATTCATTCTAAGAGATCAAATAAAGTTCCCACTAAATTATTGCTATATCCTAAAATGGAGAAGAGTAACAAGAAGACAATCATGAGAATTAAATGCTCAATTTGATAAGGAATCCTAGAATGAAATTGGGTGCTTCTCACACAAACAAATGGAAGGTTTCAGGTAGTGTTTTTTCACTACCACAAAAGGCCTCCTGTAACTGTCTAACCTCAGTGCCCTGATGAGACTCATCTGATGACAGAGACTTCCTAGACTTCAGAAAAAGAATTTTACATTTACAAAGCTTTGACCCAGCTATCCCAGTACATTCAATGTAATGTTTATACCTCCCCCAATCCCCAAATCATTGGCTTCTACCCATCCATCTATCCATCCATGCATCCATCCATCCATCTATCCGTCCATCTGTCCATCTATCCCTCCAACATTCAGAATCACCATCTGAACCAGGTAGGCACTGTGCTAGGCACTGTAGCACACAGACTGGCTTTCCTGCCAACTTCAATCACAGCCAGGACTCTTTTTTTACACCCAGCATTGACCACAGAAAACCAGCCAGAGAGCACACTCATAGCCAAAGCAGGACTGAAGAGTGAGGCTGTGAAGGACCATGGATGTCTCACTCGGTTCTCACGCAGCCACAGCCCTGCCTAATCCCTTCTGGGAACAAGTAGTATTTCAAAGTCTAGTAACCATGGCCCTTACTTGGGCGACGCTTGACAGCTGCAGATGCCCAGGGTCCTAGGAAACTGCACGCAAACAAAAAAACTGGAATTTTCCTAGAAGAGAGAAGAAAAATGATTCAAACTGGAGCCCCTCCAGATGAGGACTACGTTAATATTTTTGAACTTGGTAAACCTAATCATGTAGGTGATCAAATCTCAGTATAATTTAGTTTGCTCACTTTTAGTTTGAAATCTTGACAGATATAATAAATTCTCACATTTATGACTCCTACTCTAAAACAATCATAAGAGTGTTGTCTTTTTCTCTCACTTTCTCTGTTTCTACCTCTCACTGTTTCTATACCTATTTCCTTGTCACTGTTTTCTTTCATCTTAGTTTCTCTGCTTCTCCATTTTGGTGACTGTCTCTTTCTCCCTTTTTCTCTTTCTCGCCCTTCTGTCTCTCATGCTTCCTTTTTTGTGTCTCGCTCTCTCACCTGTTCCTCTCTGTCTCTGTCTCTGTCCCCTCACCTTTCCGCTCACCTCCTCTCCTCCTATCACCATTGCAAAAACACAGACCCTCAGTTCCAAGTCCTCCAATCCCATCTCCCCGCTACTCTTTCCAGGGTCAAATTCTTACCAGAAGTTCTTCATTTTCCCAATCAGTTTTCTTTTGTTGCCAACAGACCCAATGAAGAAGAGGTTAGAGGGGAGTCAGTGCTCCCCCAAGGCCCCTTCTCTGTCACCCCAGGACTGATGAGTTCTGGATTCAGCCTTGGTCTCTCCTGCCCCAGTCAGGGCTAAAAGCAAAGGGAGTGAAACCGAGGCATCCAGAGACACTTTAAACCAAAGCAGAGGGAAGGGGTGGGGGGAAGGCGGCCCAGCAAGCCGAGGCCTAGCCAGGGGTGTGTCCCCAAAGCTACAACGTTACACTGAAGGAGGGATTAGCAAGGGAAAGTTTGCTGAAAAAGAAAAAAAATCAGGATGTGGAGAAATTCACCAGAAAACCCAGGCAAGCTGCTATAGGAATACAGAGGCAGCTTTTAGAACTGCTATAGGAATACAGTGGGAGCTTTCAGAGGACTGAGGTAAAGAGGGCTCATTGGAAGGCCGAGATGGAGCAGCTCATGGGAGCCTGGGTGGCCCTCCAGCCTCGGTTTGAATTCCCATTTGTTCTGAAGCTTGTTGGTTGTATGTGCTTGAGCAAGTTCATTCGTCTCTCTGTCACTCAGTTGCCTTAGCTGCAAAAGGGGTTGAAAATAGTTACCTGAAACAATTGTTTTGAGAATCAAACAAGGTAGCAAAGCAAAGGATCAAATGCTTGCCTCAAGAGAAGAGTCATTATTCCCCATATTATTGTCATTATAGCTAACACTTTCACTATGTGCCCCTCTGTTGAAAATGCTTGAAGCCTAAGGATATTTAATTTTCACAACACTATAAGGGAGACTAAAATTATTCCTAATCTATAGATGAGAAAACTGAGGCACAAAAAATGAAGTCACTTGTAACTTGTCCAAAGTTGCACAGCTAATTACTCAATGCAGGTTAGCTCTCTACTTCATCTTGATAAAATGTAACGTCAAGCCCCCTAGTTCTTATTTCTTCTTAAACTCTATAATTACCAGAGCTGAGCAGAATATCCTTGGAAATAAGCAGTATATCATCCTCTATGAACAAGTTGAGAGCAAGTTACAAGGAGCACAGACCTGTAGAGAGAGATTTTTTTTTTAAAGATTTTTATTGGGGAATTGGGGGGATGGGAACAGTGCTGGGGAATTGGGGAAAGGGGAACAGACAAGTTGCTGTCGTTTTGTTCTTCAATCTAGTTGTGGAGGATGTTGCTTCACTGGCCCAAGTTGGCACCATCATTGCGCCCCTCTCTGGCGAGGCAGATCAGTCGCTGGCTTCTGGACGGCCTCTCACTGCGGCTGCTGGCCGCTCACGCTGGCTGCTGGCCACACACGGTAGCCCATGGCAACCCACTGCCACAGGGACTGCAGCCCACGCCGTCGCCGGCGACTCATGGCAGCCCAGCTCCAGGTCGAGCTGTTGTTCAGCATCTTAGCTGTGGAGGGCAGTGTCACTGGCCCTCATATGTGGGATCCGAACTGGGGCCCTCTGGCATCCCAAGCGAGTTCTTAACCATCGCGCCACTCGGCCGGCCCTGTAGAGAGAGATTTTGTTAGCACTGTGTCATACATACCCACCCTCCTTCTAGAACCTGAGGGGAAGAGCGAGAGAGAGAAAGAGAGAGAGAGAGAGAGATCCCACCCTACTCACTCAGGATTGCCTGACTTCCAGCTCCATATTGGAGGACACAAGTGTCCTGTCCAAAAACAGGGACATTCAGGGTCAGAAGATTCAATGATCTTAATAATCATGGTATCTACCCAAAGTGGTTTTGCTTCCTTGAAATTTCTTTAATTTGTAAATTAATTTTTATTTAATTGCAAAATAAGAGTATTGTTTTTGTTTGTTTTAAGTTCCTTTCCTCTTCTGCATCCCTCAGCTCATTGGCAATTTCGCTGCGATAAGTTGTGAATGAGGCAAACTTGAATGTCCATACCATGTGTTCACCATTCCTTTTCTGCTCATAACCTACTGTTGCAGTCCTGTCTCCCTATGGCATAGGGACATCCAGTTCCTCACATTATTTGGGGTTTTCTACAAGACCCTGTCCTTCTCCTTCCGTCTATCAAAATTATGATTCCCTAGGGCAGCCATTTAGACCGAGTCACAGAATTACATAAGTCTAGCTTATCCTTGTAAGTCAACCAGCGCTTATTTAAAAGGAGCAGTTTATTAACCCGAAGAACTGAACCACTAGTGGTAGGACCTCAGAGGACAGGTTGTGCAACTGGGCCTTCCCTGCAATCCTAAAATCACACGCGATAAGCCAGCCCTAGATCCACAAGGAAAGGGGCATTTTCCAAAAGGATCTTCTCTACTGAAGTTCTTTATCTGCAGTACAGATCCTCCAATGTTATTAACTCTGGGGGGAAAAAAAGAAGAGAGGCAGATTTTCCTGCATAATTAAGTGTGCAACAAATCCTTTTGCTGAGGGTGAGAGATCTCACCTCTGCTTTTGCCTTCCTCCCCCTTCCACTTTAAAGATGCCAGTACAGCTAGAATCTGAAGGCAAGTGAGGGGGCCCTTTCAATAAAAGATAAAATAATAGAGAAGAAAATAGGTTTGCTTGTAAGTGGTTTAGCTTCTTTCCAGCTTGTGAGTTGTATTTAAGATGGTGAAGAGTAAGCAATAGCTCAATTAAGAAAGAAATATAGATCCAGAGAATATAAGATATTTTTATTTCACACACACACACACACAATTTATTTATATACGTATTTAAGGACACTATTTTTCTCCTCCTTCCACCCCCATTTTTTATTAGTCATATTTCCTAAAATGACATTGAATTCTCATAGAGAATAGTGCAAATCCTGGGCTGGGTCAGGCTGTACCCTAAAATCATAGACACATACACTTTTGCATTATTAACACTGTACCTAACAGATCTGTTCTTGAAAAACAATGTGAAAATGAAATCTGATCAATCATATCAGATTGTAAATGCACCAGGACAGCTTGATATTTCAGATGACCTATATGGTAAATAGAAATATTTTATACAGAAAAAATCATGCTTTTACCCGTCTTTATCCCCCACATATACACTACTCTACACAACATGCATACATATTAATCTTTCCATCTCTATAAATCTAGAATTGTATTTACTTACAGTTTACATCAGGGAACATCATCACAAATATTTATCTTTCCTGATCATTGACTTTTATTTACTTACTCAGTCATTCAACAAACACTTATTGAATAACTACATGTACTAAGTATGTGCTAGGCATTGAGGAGACAAAAACGTGAATAAACACGACATTGCCCTGAGGAAGCTCACAGCCCAGTGGAAAAGTCCAATATGAAAATGATGCAACATAGTAAGTGAAAAAGCCTATAGCACCGCTGAGAACAAGTATGAACTCAGTCCAAAAGCATTGAGAAAGTTTTCATTAAAATGATGAATGGAAGGGATAAATGGAAGTCTACCAAAAGAACAAGTGGATACAGTGCATTTGGAGCAGATGAAATAGCAGGTACCATGACAAAAGGTAAAAGAATATTTCAGGAACCACAAGTTCAGCTCAGGAACTCTTTCACATGGTAAATATTTATTGGTGACTCTTCTATCATAAGCCCTGAGCTGATCTCAACACAGATACTGCAGAGAAAGACCAGGTTTCAGTCCCCATGGTGTATACATGCCGGTGGGAAGACAGATACTAAAAACATTTGCAAGAATGAACAAGAAAGTTTCGGTTGAAAGTGTTATAAAAAATACAAAAGACGGCAATGTGTGCTAGAGAAAGGCAGGGACAAGTTTAGAAGCTGATCTAGATTGAGGGGTCAGGGAAGGCTTCCCTGAGATGGTAAACTTTGACTCAGGCTAGATGAGACTGAAGAGTAAGACTGATCCGGTAGATTGGAAAAGGAGTGGGTGCAGGACAAGCAGAACTACCTGGCTCTGAGTTGGAGCAGCTGAGTAGCTGGTGATGTTTTCTGAAATGATAAGAGGATCATGCGGAGGAGTGAGTAGGGAGTCTTGAAAACCTTGGAAAGAGTTTGGACTTGATTCTGGCTGTTTATGGAAACTGAGAGAAGAGTTTGGGGCCAAGAGTTATGTCTTTCGATGTGTCTTCAGAAAGATGATTCCGGTGTCACTTGAAGGGTGGATTGAATGGATTTGATCAATATGTATACATACACACAACTGAAACAAGAGTTTCAGAAAGAGTACTTACCCAAGTAAATGTGGTGCACTCTAGTTTCTGTGTTATTCTATTTCATTTTTTAGTGACAGTAAATTGATAAATTGATTTCAGTACCAGCTAATGGGTTGCAACATATGATTTTAAAAACATTGGATTGGAATAAAGTAGGCACTAGAAATGCCAAGAGATGTCTTTTCTCTTTTTTCTTGGTGTGGGAACAATAATTGGGATGCGATACCCCATAAAACGCAGAATAGTAGGGCAAGTTCCTTAGTTTAAACACAAACTATATCATTTTGAAAGTATTCTTTTGAAGTAAAGTAGCCATAAACTTATATCATTAATTAAAGATTCCATGACTTCCATATTTACTTACTTTATAGAGTAAAACAAAAAAGAACTTTAAAAACTAGTTTCCTAATGGTATCTAGTTTTATTTCTGTCTATTTTGTCTTTAAAAATAAAAGACCCAAAATGACTCGTGGCACATATCAGTTGTGTGAGGATGCTGCAAATTACCCACAGCTAGAGCCTAAAATTTATCATAGAAATCTCCGGCTGAGAGGCTGATTAACAATCAGGGAGTTGCTAAAACTAGGACTCCCACAGTTTTGCATTGGGCTCAGATTTACTGTAAAGAAATTTCACCACAACCAAAGCTCTAATTTTAATCTGCTTATTTTGGTTCTATAGTTGTAATTGTAGCCGAATCGTACATAGCAAACAAATAGAGTCCCATGATGACAGCTATTTTTCTCTGAAATCACTCACAAATAAATGTGTTCTTGCCATGGACCATTAATATAAGAATGTGCTATTTAACATAAGCCCCACCCCCAGCCCAAAGTTTTTTGGCATGTTACTTTTGCTTCCTCTAAAATATAAGCATTTCTATTTTCCCCAAGGAAGAGAGAAATCAATTCCCCTTCATGGCACACGTGCTTCCAGGAGCTGTTGCTATATTTGCTACTTGTGGATTTTCAGTT